CAAATGGGACTTGATCCTAGATCATGTGTGTCAAACTCAAGGCCCATGGGCTGAATGCATTTTATGTGGCCTTCGAAAGCTTAAAATGTGTATGGTTGTCTTAAAATAAAAGTCTATGCCAATTGAAAATGTACACCGACCATAAACTACATCTCCCACAACGCACGTCAATTTTGGGACCCATATAGTATTGCCATCCCGCCACTGGATGGCAGTGTTTAGCCTTCAGCCTTTAACCAGCAACTTCCCGACAAGTGGAAATGAGAAATACCAATTAATCCCAAAATGTCCAAGAAGTTTACAGTTTGATGCAGAAGGAAGGTAATTTAACAAAAGGTGGGAAAGCGAATATACTGTATGTTTCTGCTTCAAGGAGAAAACCCTTTGTCTTTTCTGTCATGAGGCAGTGTCGGTGATGTAACAGAACTGGCGTTGGCATTGAGAGACCAAACATGGAGCCAAGTATGCTAAATTTAGCCCCCGAGAAAAAACAACAACAATTTGTCAAAGAATTAAAAGACAAACTGCAGTTGTAGCAGGAGATGTGCAAAAAAGCTACAGCAAAAATTATGCTGGCTTGATGTTATTGAGGAAAAAAATGTTGGATTGAATTTTTCAAATTTATTTTGAGTAACAAAAGTTGTTGCAGTCTGTTCAAGTTCATATTTCTGGTTAAATCATTATCAGTTTGACTGTTCAATAAATGTTAATCCTATTTGGCTCGCAACTGTAACTGGTTTAATTTTCGGCCCTTGTGTGATTTGAGTTTGACACCCCTGCTCTAGAGGCTAGCATAAGTAAAAATAAATAAATAAATATATATAAAATCTGATTTGACTGACAACAAAAAGTAAACAATAATAAACAGCAACATTCAAGAAGAGTTCTGTCCTATCACTTCTAAATGGATTTGTGTAGGTTTATTGGTAATAAACACTGCAAACAATGGTATCCTCAAAGTGCCTACAGATGAGTTAAGATTTGACTTCTATCTTCAGAAGGAGCCTTATTTCTGACTCAAATTCAACTCAAGATTACACTTGACCCTCACATCTACCATGAGTTGTCAGAAAGGCTCCTGGCTTAGTCCTGCAATGTCCATTTCTATTACTGATGTATTGTGTTAAAAAACTAGCTGGTGGAGCAATAAATCCTAAATGTGTTTAAAGGTAACGGTCATTACTAGCTACCATGTATCAATGTTGGTGTATTTAGAAGCCAATGAATATTCAGAGCATACAAAATCATTATTAAAAGCAGCCCCTAAACCTCTACCCTTGCCATTCTAAGTTTATCTCACACATTGCCCTAATTTCAGCTGCCAGCTCATGCTGATATCTGACAGTTCGCTCTCAGCAAAAGGAAAATGCAAAAATGTGAAAGTTATTTTGCAAGACACTGTACAATTTGGTTTCAAAAAATTCCAGGTTTTCCAGGAAGTGTGGGAACCCTGTCATAAATGCTGACCACTAGCGTTCTGTTTACCTTGAGGGCAGTGGCCACCTTCTTCCATTCTGGAGTTAGACTTTGGCAGTGACCGCACCTGTGGGGGCAAATGGAGGAGATGTAGACCTGTGAGTAATAAATCTAACTTAGAAACCAATGGGGATGAAAAAGATGGTAGTTAACTGGTACTCAAGTCCTAAAACATTTCATTTTATCAGGAGACAAGCTTGTAGTCCTTCACAACATCACACACACATCACTCCTATGAGTCAAATGAGCCAATATTAACATATCCAGTGAATATTTAACACCTTTTATTTACAGAGACTTCAGGCTTGCACATCTCCACTGGCTACGTGTTCACTGCTCAATGGTCTAGTCCATGAACTGACACAATCCAAACTGCTCAACTTGACGGATTGCACAAGTCAAGAACAGCGTTTTCTTCAAATCCCTAGAATTCAAACAAACTCTGACTACTCAAGACAAAGCTCAAGTCAATTTGTTTAGCTTTAATTTGTGCAATTGAGTGTATGAATGTCTGCCTGCATCTGTGCTATGTGTCGTTATCCCTCTGTAAACTCATTTCAATCAATTTGGCATGAGATTGTGTTATACAAATAAAAGATCTGTGTGACTGAACCCGAAGAGGAAGTGCCAACTTTGCATACAAGTCTCTAGAGTCTGTTCAGATCAAAACTACAGTTGATGTTTCCATAAACCTTTTACAACCAGTGGCCTCGAGCAGTCAATGTGAGATGATGGTAATAAGACTATGGTCACTGTGCCAATACTTGGTTGATCTGGAGACACTAGTTGCAACTTAACAATGGCCACCAAATTTGCAAGGACTCACCAGGGAGCGTAAAACTCAACCAGCCACAGACTGTCACTCTGGATGACCTCCCTGTTGAAGTTGGAGGGGGTGAGCTCAACAACATCATCACTAGCAGAGTAAAAGGCTTGGACCGACAGGACCAGCGAGCAGCCCAACACTCCTGCAAGACAAAATGAAGATACAAAAAAACTCAACGTTAACCTCAACAATATGCACTCACCTCAGCTACGGTAGGAACTGAAATAACACCCCAGTTTTACTTGTATACAGCATGAGTGCAAATTTATGAAATAGAAGGTGAAATTAACGTTTATTGGTTCACCGATTAAACGGTCACGGAAGCCTAGCCTCTGTACCGTAACTTAGCAAATCAAGCTAACAGCGAAAACGCAGTCAACCACACCTACCACTAACAAATTCACAGGTGATACTTTTTTTTAATAAGCAAAAAACCCGCTGCTGGAATTACTCACCAAAGAAAAGCGGTCTCATTGTTTTAGCTGCGCGCTTTCGCCACTCGCCTCCTCAGTTAACAACACACAGAATGCTGCTCCCGAGTCTCTCCAAAAAAGTAGATCGGGAAAAAAAATCTCACCGTGGCCCACGCTGATTGGTCCGATGGTGTCGACGCTGCGCCTCAGCCAATCAGCTTGCGCCGCGTACTTTGATTGCGCCGGGCACGCTTAAAAAACGGGAAGGGGCTGGAGGAGTAAAGCGGAGCAACTGTAAAACAGCATATAAAACTGTTTTAGTTATTTGGAAGATATAGGTATTTTGGATAGGATTTAGTAGTTTATGCAGTTCTAAGAACCTTTTTTTTTTTATTTCTTCAGCTCTATTGTTCCACACTCCAGCCCAGCAGGTGGTAATGCACCTTAAGTACATTTGTTATAATGCTATAGTGTATCAGGTACATATTTATGGATTGATCATTGATCGGGCTTACATAACCACAAAGAAACAGAACAGCTATGGAGAGATGTAAAATGGCTGCACAGAGATGCAAACACCTGTTGGTTATGTGTTTTCTGTATGTTCTAGTCCGGGTGTAAAGAAGAGGTGGCTTTTACATATCAGTGCCTAGGGGTCCATTGTCTCATGATCTGTCCATACTCATAGTGATAGAGAATAAATTACAATACACTGTATTACACACAGCATGAGTACTGTACATATCTTTCTGATTAAATAAATATAAAACAGGCTTCATAATGTTACTGTTGTCATCATAGCTTCCAGTAGGCTACTTCCTTCTCATAATGCAACATTTTAAAGGGTTTGTAACATGTAATTAATAGCTTTATAGTTTAGTGGCATTACAAGTAGTTTTATCAGTAGTTGGCATAGCAGCTTGGCCTGAATAAAAATTATTTTATGGAGCGTCAATTCAGTGTGCCTCAGCTCTTATCTTTTTATTCTGTTAGTATTACTCTTCAGCCTATGTACCTGATGCAAAGGGGTTTTATTTTTTAGGTGCAAGCACTTTTAACATATTTAAGCTAACAAATCATTTACTAATGCTTAGTTCAGTACATTAATAAGAACAACTTTTGTGTTGTATCAAAAATATGAGTAAATGTATTCAAAGAATCTAAAGTAAAAGCAGTGATTTATACAGGAACTGGCCCGTGAGTGTTATATAAGGATATATTCTTATTACTGTGTAACACTGAACCTGCATGGTTGAAGATGATCTGTGTAACTATTTTATATACTCGAGTATCTTTATTACCATATCTTAGAGACTTATCTTATTCTGTAAAGTAAGTTTATAAAGTCAATAATTCTAAAGGATTAAATTCCCAATATTTACCCATTGTACAAATCTGCAAACCGCTGAGGAAATCCAACTGGTTTGCAGATTGTCCACAAAAAGAAAACTAGAAGCCACAGGCTGCTGTATTGTTAGGGTGCTTCCCCTAACGGGGGACAAGGCCAAGTGTCGTACAGCTGCAATTTTGTAAAACCATTCAAGAAATATTAAAACTTAAATAATTATTCTGAAATGGTATTTCATAATTCTTACTTAAGAGTTTTTATGGGTTATTTTTATTGTCATTATGGACATTATTATTATTTCAAAGTGCTATTTTTCCAAAGTCTGTTTTTACTTCATAATGCCTTTTTATGTCCCGTTACTACGGTAGCCTAGATGGTGGGACATTATGTTCACGCTGCTGTCTGTGACTCTGCATTAGACATGCTTTTGAACACAGTAAGTCTAGAAAAATTCAAAGCAGAAACTCTACTTATAGTGTAGATGGTCTGATAGAAATTTACATAAATGTGCATTTTAATGAGGGGACTGATTTCACAAAAACTGCATGTTAACCTAACACATTCAAATTATTACCAATTAGTGACCATTATGCAAAAAAGTATGTTGGTAGGAAAATAATACAGATAGAATGCAGCAAATTGCAGCCAACTCTCGCGTTACAGTAGGAATTCTGACTATTGACAAATCCACCGATCAGGCATAACATTATGACCACTGACGGGTGAAGTGAATAACACTGATGAGCTTGTTACAGCCACCTGTCAGTGTGTGGGGTTTATCAGGCAGCAGACCAACAGCGTCTAAGGACAGATGATGAACTGGCGACAGGGTCATGGACGACCATGGCTCACTGATAATGAGGTTGACTTATTGTATATCTTTTGCAATTAAATTTTAATGTGCAGCATAGTGATGTCTAAATGAAGCAATTAACCAGTATTGAACCACTTCATCAATTGTATCGACCATCGGTTCATTCATTCAAAGGTTCGTTTCAGTGACATCTAATAGGAGACAGCAAAACAATGTCAATTATGTGAATGCTCCATGACAGTGATCAAACAAAAGGCAGCAATGATAATAACAGCAACTATGCACTACTACGATGACAAACCCATATGTTGTGCATCATTTTGGGTGGCTTTATAGTGCACCTACGAACCTGCTGACGTGCGCAGCAGGTCTAGCCTAATGAAGCATTATGGACTGTTTGAACCAGTCACGGGATTCACTCTGGGGACTGAAGCAGTTTCTGCTTCAGACATCATCAGTCACGTGTCTTTTCCCGCACCAAAGCAAGCTTCGAAGCAGTGGCTCACGGGAAATACCTCTTCGAGTTTCAAGCTTGTATTGGAGCATTGGTGTCAGACAGCATCACTAGTGCAGCACTCTGTGTGTATGTAGACGCTTAGCTGCTACTCTGAGGTAAAGCAGTTGAGTAAATGTATCATTTCAAGTTCATATAGGTTTTGCTTTAGCATGTACATTTTAACAACGACGTTAACTGTTAAGACTTGTTTCTAGGAAAGTTATCATGACATTAACTAGTCACCTATCCCCTGTTGGCTCTGTAGTTTGACTGCCAGCGTTATGGGAATGGTGTTGTTACACATCGAATATATCTGGACTAGATTAACATTAGCACCTTCTTGTTTTAAACACCTAAAAGTTCACTAATGTTTAGAGGACACTGGTCTTTGACATGGATTTCTTTGTTTTAGTGGAGAAACCTTTTTAGATAAGTACCTGAGTATTGAGTTTTTCTGCCACATCTGTGCAAGATAGAGCCTCCATTTAAATTTAAGTCCAGACAAACAATCAGCTGCCAGTCTTCATTAATGAACGGTTTTATTTATATTTCTTCAATAAAGCTATTACAACTGTAAAACTGTCTGCTTCTGCTTTTAATATCAAAGATATCAGGCACTGGTTCAGGTCTCCTAGTTCTTCACCATATCTAGTGAAGAACTAACACACCATTTAAAAAAAACTAAGAGGCTATTTAAAAAAATAAAGAGTACATGGTTAAACGGCGTTTTTTTGTTGTTTTTTTTAGGGGCCAAAAGTTGAAAAGTGTCATCATCACTGTCCACATCTGGAAAATGGTCCCTCTGAAATGAAAATGTTCATAAACATTTTCTTGATGATGCTAGAATGGCTGTAGGGGAAGCACACATTAAAACAAAATGTCAAAGTATACAAAATGTGCAGTATACAAATATTAAATTCTACAAGGTTGACTGTTGTAAAGTTGTCAGCTTTAAATGACTGAAAAGCAGAGTTAAAATTCAACACTGATATAGTTAAGTGCACAGAAGTTCCCAAAAACAAGACTGCATAGTACCTGAACATAAAGTCAGGTTTCTTTGCAACATCAAGGAAGAACGCCAGAGCCATGGATGCCTTGTTTCTGGCCATTTGGGAGGATCAGAACCTGCAACAACAGAATCAGCTTACAAGTTTTTCCACAGTGAATTTAAAAGAGGATTCTATTTGCCAGCTGTACTATCAATTTGCTGTGTTTCACTTGAGAGCAATGGTTAATCACTATGTTATGACAGTGTTTGCCATAAACATTAGAGATAGAACACTGGAAGTTTTTACTAAAGTAATACAGGCTCTGACCTTTTGGTTTAAGGTACAACAACACAGCTTCATTATCAAAGCTACCACCTGATTGGACAATTTGACTCTGCTCTGTGATTGGACTGTCACTATCCAATCAGAGTCAGGTGTGATTCACACTACACCCCAGTACTTGTTACAGTAATGTTGTTTATTCTGCAAGTCGTCTTACAACAAACCATACACCTGCATCAATCTCATCCACTGTCTCATTCTCATGGCCATTTTGCATTTAATATTTTTCCTGCTCCACCACAAGTTGATTCTCCAACTAATGATGAACACAACACAAGACTGAATTGCAGAAACATGGACAGTAATTCAAGAGGTGTGGAAATTTTCAATATCTACACAGTGACTTTAAGCTTCTGTCTTCCTGCTGGAAACCTTCTGAAAGATGGGATCAGATGCTCACCGTAGCACATAATCATGTGTCACTTCCTTCTCTTCCTGTAACTGAGCTCTGTAGAAAACATATAGTGTCCAGATATAAAGAGATATACACAGGAAATGACTGAGATGTACAAACCACAGCACAGGCTGACTGTAGATATTTGCTCAGCCTTGTTAAGATAAACACAATGGGCATCACCTGCTATTATGATCTCCAGCTCAGCGAGGAGAGGTCTGTTGGGTCCCTCAGGAACATGTTGACATCTCCCACCATGCACTGCTCCTCTTCTATACTGGGATCTGCCCATCGCTGCTTATCCAAGATGATGAATGTGCACTCTGGCAAAAAATAAAAAAGTCTAATTAAACAACTTTTCCTAAAGTAAAACTTCTTCAGCAATCATCATCTACACACATTTTCTTCAGGAAATGCATTTCTCTAGTTCAGTGTAGTTTACTGTTTAAACAAACTTTGCAGCCACAGAAATCCAGCGGAGCGCGTACCAATCCCTGATTTCCCTGTTTGGCACACTTCACAATTCACTAGGTTACATTCCGTGAAGATTTATGATGTGCTGTGCCGGGCTGCAATATGCTGTATCTAAATAACTATACAGACAAACACAGCATGGCCGGAAAACACAAAGTAAACCTTAAAAATAAAAGCATAGTCGTCTCTTGAGGTCAATGTTTATTAGATTGAATATGATGGGAGACTGTAGGAGGTAGTTAAGGTGCTAATATTATGTTCATTATCCATTTATCCACAAAGTCATTTTTCGTTTGGTTTGCGTTTATTACGGTTTTGATGTGGGCTACTCCTACCACAGCCTACTTGTATCCTCCATTAGATTTTGAAGGGAAATATTGCACTCTAGTTATCTGAAGTATGTATAGGCTACTTTCCAACTTTGGAACTAAGTGGGCTACATTTTGCTTATTTAAAAAAGTCTGTAAATTTATTGTGACTGCTAAATAAACTTTTATTAAAATCAGAAGCACAAATCGTACAAAGGGTAATTTGATTTAAAATTTAATAGAATTGTTACGCAGTAGCCTAAATGTTTTGTTTTGAAAATTATGGACGGAGGTGCTGTGGCTTGATTGTAGGCTCACTTGACATTACGCGCACGTCTAGCCGAAGCCTACTTTCTCAGAGCGCACAGGCGCACTGTTCACCAAGGAGGAACTAAGGAGACTTCACGCTGCAGTAACCTCTGATCAAATATGTTTTGTTAAAACCAGAAACATAGAGATTCGATGTTTTGTAAGGTTTTACGCACAGCACCAGAGCATCCTGTGACTTTCATTTACTCTATCAGTAAACAGTTCTGTGAAAATCTAGATCAGTTGGACTGTTTTGTGGCGGACCTGTTGTAGGCATAATGTGGGGAATCCACCGGACACGGTATGCAGACTGCAACGGCTCTGAAGCCAGTGAAGAGACCGAGATTGTTGTGAACATCGGCGGTGTGAAACAGGTACTGTATGGCGACGTGTTGAATCGTTACCCGGACACTCGGCTGGCAGAACTGGTGGACTGTTCACTTAAGTCTTCGGAAGAAACATCTTTACTATGTGACGACTACGACCCTGACACTGGAGAATTTTATTTTGACAGAGACCCAGAAGCCTTTAAGTGCATAATTGAGATGTATTATTATGGAGAGATTCACATGAAAAAAGGCATCTGCCCAATTTGTTTTATGAAGGAGATGGAGTTCTGGAAAATTGACTCTGATTTTCTGGATGAATGCTGTAAAAGCCATTTGAAAGAGGTGGAAGATGAACTTGCAGAGATTGCAGAGAAAGTGAAAACTATCCTGGTGGATCGAGAAGGAGATCCGTCTGCAGGGGGCTGGCAACGCTTCCAGATGTGTCTTTGGAGGCTGATGGAGAAGCCAGAGTCCTCGCTGCCTGCGCATATCATCGCCATAGCTTCTTTCATTTTCATTCTCGTCTCCTCCGTGGTCATGTGCATCGGGACCATTCCCGAGTTGCAGGTGGAAGACTCAGAAGGCAAACTCACTGATAACCCAACTCTGGAGGTCATCGAGACGGTGTGCATCGGCTGGTTTACTATTGAATACATCCTGCGTCTAATCTCCTCCCCTAACAAAATAAAATTCGTTTTGTCTTTTATGAATATAATCGATTTCATGGCGATCATGCCCTTCTTCGTGGTGCTGATTCTGACCTCTTTCGGTGCTGGAGTAATGGAGCTGGCTAACGTGCAGCAGGCTGTGCAGGCTTTACGCATAATGCGCATTGCGCGCATTTTCAAGCTGGCGCGCCATTCCTCTGGACTCCAGACCCTCACATCTGCCTTGAAGAGCAGCTTCAAAGAGCTCGGCCTGCTCCTCATGTATATGGGCGTGGGGGTCTTCCTTTTTTCCGCACTGGGCTACACCATGGAGCAGAACCACCCGGACACCTTGTTCACCAGCATCCCACAGTCGTTCTGGTGGGCTGTGATCACCATGACCACAGTGGGATATGGAGACGTCTACCCCAAGACCACTTTAGGTCGGTGTAACGCGGCCATCAGCTTTCTGTGCGGAGTGATCGCCATAGCGCTGCCGATCCATCCCATCATCAACAATTTTGTCATGTTCTACAACAAGCAACAGGTGCTGGAGACTGCGGCCAAGCATGAGATTGAACTGATGGCGCTCCGCTCCGGCAAGAAGGATCGGCCCGGAACCCATAAACATTTTTGTCTTGCAGGCGTCTGGGACAACACCGCGCGCTCCTGTCACAGCGACATACATCTCCTTACTGAAGAACCCCAAGGGAGCAGCAGACATCTGACGCACAGCTTAGAGGCAAGATTTGGGAACATGAGCAATGATTGACCGGACATCGTCTGAAAATACGGAAGAAAAAAAAGATAAACATCAATTTGAATGGTCATTTTTGACTTGCTCAAACTTAACCCGCTAATTCTATAATACAATGATGACTTGAGATTGTAAATAGGCTCGTAAAAATAACAGGACTGCAGTGAATGTCTCAAAGGACTCACGCCTATTAGAGGGACGTGAAATACTGACTTGATGAGCTGTGCCTTTGCGCAGCGACTCCCTGTAGGAGTTATGTTTGAAAACACTGTTTACCCCACGTAGGATTCTTATATAACACCCCCCTATCCCCAGTCCTCACACAGGTACTGTAGACCACTCTGTAGCTTATTCCACTGCACAGGATCACAGTTAATTATTTTTAAAATAATAAAGATAGACAGCTCATCATGGAGAACAGGAAAGTATAGCCATCCTATGATAAAAGCAAAACTGAAGGAAAACTGAAGCTGCTTAAAAGTGAAGTGGGAATTATATTGTAAAATATATAAATATATAATATACTTTTTTTTTTTTTACAAAGTCTCTAGTGAACAACAAAAAAATTGAAAGTATGCTAGAGAAATATGATGTGCATGCGAGAGCACATAAAAGCAAAATATCATCAGGGCTGTTCAAGTGTGATTCTGTCTGTGACTGTTTTGGCATCAGTGCAGTATTTGTAACTGACATTGTATGATTGTGAGGTAACATGTCAGATATAAAACCCCTCTTGTATCTGTGTCAGAGGGTGGGCCTCCAGATATGATCATGTTGCTGACACCAGGACCTACAAAGCTTCTTTGGCTGCAGGGCATGTTCCTATAATGGGTTGCTGAACCTCTGCTCCACCCCAGAGGTTCAGTAGAATCAACTTGATCACCAAGTTATGGGCAAAGAAAGAGAGCAACAGGCTGGAGGTTAAACAAAATAATGGCAGTTATTAAACTACCAAATCAATTTAATCAAGTTTGGTTAATCTGAAAATGGAAGAAATATAAATAAAGAGGACTTCTTTTCTCATTAATTCACCTAAATGGCAAGTATTAAAGCCAGCAGTATGTCAACAATATTATCAATATATACCTGCCTGTCAAACATGCATCTCAATGCATTACTGCTCTTATTTTGATGAAACTTGAAATGATGATGTTTTTCATATTGTATCCCAGGTTCTAAAAATGAACTTTAAATAGTCCTACCGGATGCTATATTTAAAGGTTAAATTTCCACAATTTGAAAGATCTCGCCGCCTACACCATTAGTCTGAGTGACATGAAACCTGCTGCACAAATGGAACAACATTAGTCAGCACAGCAAGGGAGCTATAATTCACATTCATTCATTTTCTACCGCTTAATCCCTGAACGGGGTCACGGGAAGGGCCGGAGCCAATCCCGGCCAGCAATTGGGCGAAGGCGGGGTACACCCTGGACAGGTCGCCAATCATATAAACATATAGACAAACAACCACACGCACTCCACGGGGAGAACATGCAAACTCCACACAGAAAGGTCCCAGGTGGGGCCCGAACCCGGAACCTTCTCGCTGTGGCACTAACCACTGCGCCACCGTGCTGCCCTAATTCACATTTGACATATTTAATTCAAATGTCATGTCTCTGATGTCACTGGTTTGAGTTTCTGACAACCTGAAGGAATGATTTACATCAAGATTGTGTTCCTGTGCCCAGTCTTATTTTGGGAAATGCTATAGAATAAGCATCGTTCTTCAATGTAAAAGATGGGATACGTTTACACAAATAAAAAAAATGAGGATATTAACAGCACCAGGTAGCCTGAAAGTCAAAAGAGGGTCAAATCAAGAGGCTGTTCATGAATGAATGTTACTTTATTTTGGACTCTTAAACAGGTCCATTGCAAAAACAATAAAAAAAAAAAACAAAGGACATGCAATTAAGTATGTAAAAATTATTTAAAAACTGTGTCTGATTTAAAAAAGGATGGGAACCACTGCTGTACAGTTTGGCTAAAGTGAGAGAAAAGCTTTAATTATGAATAAGACTGATTAAAATGCAACCCAATGATAAGATGAAAAAACTGAACCTATGTACAGTAAAGGGCCTTAATCTACATTGCATTAATCTCCCCATCAAACCCTGTTGCGCCTTTTGATTTTCAGGCTACTTGGTGCTGTTAAAAGAATCCCAGCTGCACAGAACAAGACAACTGTAACCTTCAGTCCAACCTCAGAAATATTTCAGTTACTAAAAAGATAAAGAAGGCATGTGCACATTTTGTCACTTAATCATAATGTGATTAAACTATGTAATCTGTTCATGTTGAACTTGGCTGCTTGTGACATATGTCTGACCTGAAGGAGGAGCTAAAAGTAAAGGTCAAAAATGTAAAGTTTCAAATGACTACTACATCACCTGTCACATTTAGATGGAGTAAAGAATGGTAATATATCTTACTGCTGCCTTTCTGACAAGGTGTCTGCATCAGTCACATGGACACGATGTTAGGTTTGTGATGGCGCTGAGCAGTCGAAGTTACACAGCCTGAAAGACAGATCACCGAGGAGGTCAGGCTGGTCTGCAGACACTCCACCCATATGTGTCCACTACAGGACTCTTCTCCCAGCTAGCAGCAGATTCACACATGTCAAAGCTCGGTAGAAAGGCCTTTGTACAGGCTGACAGGCAGTGCTGCATTTGTCAAAGGCATGCATTGTGTAATGGAACAATGTTCTTCCAGCAGATGCATACACAAATACACACGCGCCTCCATGTTCAAATTTAGATTTACAAGGCTCCGTGGCATATACAAACATCCCCCTTCCTTTCCACCAACTACCTACACACGCATACAAATAACTGCACACAAGTATATGCACACTCCTTCACCCATTTGCCCAGAACCATGTGTGAGCTACTGTGCAGTGACCTGTTGGCTAATCATCAATTTTTACACCCACATATTGGTCATCTGTGGCACTCAGTGGGCGTTTAAGTTAAGAGGTATGGCTGAGCATTTACAAAAAATGTTCCTCATTATCCCTTAACCAAAATAGCAACAGTTATTGTGAGACCTTGGAGCTTGCTACTATATATGTTACCAAATCAATACATTGCCCTAGATGCTCATAGTCGTTATATCGCAAGACAGTGTCTTCAAGTAAAGACTGATCTATTTTTTTAACAACTCTGAACCATACAACTTGTAATACAAAGTTGTACAAGTGCAAAACAGATTATTCTGAACCTTCTAACCAGACTGAGGGGTTTATGTGGGTGTGTGCTTGAGGACAGTTCTTCTAATTGTCCAGCTGACAATTAAAAGACGTTGCTGTTTTATTTCTTATTGCGTTCACATTATTTTGCTGACATTTCACTCCATAGCTAATCCAATGCACAGTGAGAGTGGAGAAGAATAGCCGTGCCATGTTTGTTTCAGTATCATACTGCTGCGTGCGCACTTCAATAGGTAATTAACTCTAATTCTAATATATAGCTCATGTGACATTCAATGTGAACCCTCAGATAAGTCCAGCTGCTGCACTCATGTATAGCATATTAACCAGTGATTTTAGTGTAAATATACTTAGTGTCACTAGTAGAGTGTGAATGTGTTTCAGATAATAATGTGTCCTACCCAGCTGTTTCCCAGCTCCGATTATTTTCTGGTGACACGCTGGCATATTGGTGTTGAGTTACATACGTACAACCATTTTGATGACAGCAAGGACAGATTCCACTCACCTCTCCCATTTCCTTCTCCCCCCTGACCTTTAGGCAGGGATCTTCTTTTCTCCTGTCCTCCTACCCGTGGGTATCCTGTAAATAAATGGTACGGACAAATTGAAGCTCAAGACAAATAAAAGCTAATTTTGTTGTGCAGGTACAGCCTTAAACAGCTGTTTGGTGTGAGCTTCTTTTATGTTTTATGAATGTTTAAGAACTGGATTAAAGCAGAATGAGAGACATTAAACATTTAAATTTCCACAGTATCTGGGAGTTTCAGTCTCAAATATGGTATTCCTGTTAAGTGACGTTGTAGACTGATATATCAGATACAAGCCAAAGGAAAGCGAAATGGAAGGTGCTAATGTTTCACCTCTTATTTGAAAAGCTGCTTCAGTTATGACTGACTGGTGGAAGTCCCATGATGAGGTCACATGTGGGCCATTCTCACACCCGGCCATCTTCTGTGCCCATATGGTCACATGGTCAGTGTGGAAATGGGTGTTAAATTGCCTCGGGAGGGATCTCTGGGCTGCCTTGTAAGTGGCTGATAAGTGGTGATGTAGGCCACCTACTCAGTAACAGGGGTTCTCACTGGATCTTCTTGCGGGTCTGACAATGGCCCAGTGTTTGGCCATCCTGGCCAGAGTAAGTTTAAAGTGCTTTCTGTTTATGATTCAAACACATCAATGAAGCACTCAAAACTTGCGGCGACCCCGAATGGACCTTTGTCAAGACCACAAGAAGATCCGGGAAGAACCCCTCTATAAAAGACGGAGAAGAAAAGAACAAATGACACAACATCGTTATTCCATAACCTTTCCTGTGTATCTGAAAAACTCAGGAGGATCTTCAGCATCCACCACATCCTGGTACATTTCAAACCCAACAGTACTCAGAGGCAGAAGCTGGTCCACCCTAAGCGCAAAACACCCAGACATAAATAAATCAGTGTAGTAGATGCAGTACAGTGCAGCGAGGAATGTCAAGACCTGTATAGTGTTGACCCCCATAGTCCAGTTTGTTTGACTAGTGCGATTACCCCATGTCTCGAACACGGTACGCATTGAGTGATCACTAAACCAGATACAGGACAAGGCAGCCGTGTGAACACACCCTTACAGTGCAGTCCTGACATCCCTCACAAGTTCACTCCCATTCCCACTTGGACTCAGGTGGGGCGACAACCCACACAAGGTGAAGCACCTTCACAAACCTGAAGCGGGTCCAGTCGCCAACGTTAGCATTTCAGATATACTATCACCTGGCTGACTCAACCTCCACAGACAAGGAGAAGACACCAAAATAAAGAAAACGAAACATGAGGCACTGAAAACACATCAGGCATAAAAAAGTATTGCTCTCAAGACCACTCTAAAATCAGATAATATCAACCCTCAAATGGTATAAATGGAATATTTTAATGGATTCATATCCTGCAGAAGATGGTCAAACACATTAAACTGAATAAGAATGTGTGTGCATAATGCTATGAATTAACAGCCCCTCTGAGCATTATCTCTGTTTAAGAGATATTTTCAGCTGCAGGAGAGAGAAAAAGGTAATCTCCCTGATGTCAGATTTAGTAGAAGACAAAAACATGTTCCAGGAGTGTTATTTTGTGCTGAATGAGTTTCTTTCTTTCTTCTTTTTTTTTTTTTTTTTTTTTACAGGATTGTTTAAAATGCTGCGTGGGTGCACCCTGGGGTCCTTTGATTCAGGCAGCGAGCTGCATAAAATTGCATGACAATAATTACATAGATTAAATATGACCTT